CAGTAGGACCAGTTCGGAGCGGAGACTGTGTTTCTCAGCAGATTTAAGACTCAGTTAAGGTCTTTTTGGAAGTTCCAGAGCAAGAAAAAATGCTCCAGAGGTGTGCTGCTATCTCTACATGTATGGATTTTTGAATTTCAGACAAGAACATGAGGATTAAACCCACAAATACGTACAGATTCCTACTGAAACTCCCCTGAGCATCATCAGTGTGCATGTCACAAAAACCTACAGATTGCATGGCATAGAGACGTAGACAACCAGGGGGCACCCACACACACACATATACACACACACACCCACACACACAGTGAGAATGACAGGGGCAGCTGCGGGCCTGATCCGGAGGTCATGTAAGATCACAACACTGAGGAAAAAGACAAATTCTTTAACCCAGGGGGTTGTCTAAGATGTGAGTTAATGGATCACATGTTCACTCAAGACTGAGAAGTTTTTTCACCGTGTGTCTGTGTGAGAAAAACTGCGCCTGTAATTTTCTTATCTGCCCCATTTTAGCTCGGACAAGTGTAGCGGGAGGTGAAAACTCATAAAGCAATTTAACTTAAACTTTCATTGAACGTTTTAACCCATGAAAACAATTTAAAGACCAGTACATGTTTTCATTAAACAAAAATGAAACCATTTCTGGGGGGAAAAAATGGTTATTTAATTTGGATTTGTCCCATTATCTGGCAGTGTTAGATGTCTTTAAACGGGCCCTTTGTAAGTAGACTCTGGGGTGTATTAAAGAAATAACAGTCTTTTCAGGTCAGGGGAGCGTTCATTAATAAAACTAATGTCTGAGTTCAGAACTCTGCAGGTGTGATTTGTCTTCATCTTTAATGGTACGGACTGACTAAGAAAGCAAACAGAGTGTGTATGCATCTATGTGCAAAAAGTGTGTGTGTCCACGGGAGTGTTTGGGTACACTGCAGGTGATTAGAGCGCCGCTGCTTGTACTTTTCCAGTGTGTGTGTGTGTGTGTGTGTGTTTCTCAGTGTCCTGTCATTAGCTGAATTATTCAGACTTAGCAAACAGAGCCGACACGACTGTGAGTGATCCCCAACATTGATATTGACTCAGACTTTATTTATAGTGTGTGGTCTTGCAGCGTGAGCTGCACACAGCGCCGCCCCTCTGAGGCCGGCGACCAGACACCATTAATCAGAAGAGTGTTATAATTAGGCTTCGTAGCCTCGGGCTGCGTGAACACACACACACACATGCACACAGAAACAACACCACAAGTAAGCATGGACATAATGTATGAATGCATGCAGAGAACACACACACACACACACAGAGGAGGCACTGTATGTGTGTGTGTGTGTGTGTGTGTGTGTGTAGGCTGGACGGGTTGCTGAGGTTTTTTTGGAGGGGGCCGGCTTGTGTTGTTTGTGCAAAAAACGCTTTAAGGCTTCTCCTCTCATTGGTGAGGCCGTTAAACAAAAGTTAGTTTGTTACAGTAGTGGGCAGCGGGGATATTAATACACGCCATTTGCAGATGTCTGAGCGTTTACAGCCATCTGCGTGAAAGCCCGTTGTGTTCCGCGTTGAATCTGGTGATCCCCATTTGGCCAGGACTATTTTGGTTGGAGGGTTCACATGAGCCCCTTCAAAAGTACATATTTGTACTTTTATTCTTGCGTGGATCACAATCCCCGGCATTCTTCCCTTTCAACTTGTGGCAAAAAATAAATACAAAGACCTCATTGAGTAATTACCACTGGATGACCAGCAAAAAGACCAAAACAGAGGCTATTTTCAGCGTTTTTTTATTTGAATATAAATAGCAATGATAATAAAATTGCACACATGACATTATGTCCTGCTGCTTTGTCGAATCGTACAAAAAAAATATGTCAGAGGAATGACAGAACTGGTGCGGTCTGTGTCCACAGATGAACAAAACAAGTGCTCCTGAATGCTCTTCATTTGATAGATGAAGTATTATTGTTCCTATCGCGTGGAGAGACCTTCAACAACACAGCTGACACACAAGTACATTTGTGACAATAAATATGTTCACATCGGAAGCGTGTCTGCATTTCCTGTTTTTTTTTTCTGCCAGACCAAAGTAAACTAGCAGGTCCCAAACAACCAACAAAGTTTTGGCTTTATTATTCCTTCACTTTCTCTTTACACTGGCGTTCCCTTGATTCGGCCCCTTCCCCTGACTCACAAATGTGGCCCCTCAGTGTGCCGTCACAGTCGTATTTACCATTGGTTCCTATTTGATTTGGACCTTAAAGTCTTCAAAGGCACATGTTTTCTGCCCGTACAGATCCTAAACTGGACCCAGAGCGTAAGTCCAAAGCTTTTTCAGAAGATCTCTGGAGGCACGATGTTTGTTTTAACGCTGACCACTCGGAGACACATGATATTGCACACTTCTGTTCAGCTGGTCGAATGGCCGTCTTCAGCTTAAATCCTCTCCGTTTCTCGAGTGTCCCTCAGGCGTGACTCTGACCCGTTGGCTTTTTTTCTCTCGGCGAGGATCTTTAAAGGTTTTTTTCAAACACTGTGATCGATCTAGCTTGTCCTCCGACCCTTCCCACTTCTTTTAAAGCCACTTGTCCGCCACCCTCCTCCACCGCTCTCTCATCTGTCACTTTCGCCCGGAGTTCCCCTTTGACCTCCTGTGAGTTGTTCTAGAAAAAACTACAAAAGGCCCGGATCTTTTCCTCACAGACGTTAGCGGGGCGGAGAGAGAGAGCGAGAGGAAGGGCGAGACGGAGGAGGAGGAGGAGGAGGAGGAATGTCTCAGTGAGCTCTGCGCTACAGCTGGGCCGTACATTAGTTTAAGAAAGAAAGTCGGCTTCTTTACCGCTTGTTTTTCCTTCGCTCTGGAATTCGACGAGAAGAAATCCAACAAGTGTAACGAAAAACCGACAAAAAAACCCTTTTATTTCTCCCCTAGAATTTTGGGGAATCATTTTTTGGAGCTGGTTGGAAGTAAACATGTCGTCTCAAGCACTGGCTCAAAGGCGGTCTGCCCCCCCCCCCGACAGATTTTTGGGTTTGCTGTCCATAACCAAGATGCCCCGGGCAGTGTCCAGCGTCGGGTCACTGCCTCTGAAAGTGCCTCTCTGTGGCACAGTGGACGGCCAAAACTCCACCGAGCCAACCTCATTAAGCGCTGGAGTCCACAACACCGGTCAGCCCACAGTTTAAGCTCGGACATTCCTTCTTTTGATCCCTTTTTTGCCACCCAGAAATATGAAGTAATATTCTCCCTTAGAGAACGCGTCCTGATAAATGGTATAAAATTTTTTGATCCAAACATTAAGACTTCCATTACTGTACACAGTCCTCTCTTTGTGGAACAGCCCATCAGGTGATTTCGGGCCTCAGATAAGGAAGGGCACCTGTGAAAAAATGAACAAAACAGTTGTTTAAGTATTACCAGTAAAAAAAAGGAAAAGAATAATTTAAAGGTGGAAAGAAGATTAAAGAGATTTATGGCTGCTGTGAATTTTGTGCGTATGTTTGGGTTGTGTTAACATATGGCTGCTGTTAGCATAGCATGTGACAGCGATGATTTAAAAGGTGGGGGTCAGGGCCGGCTGATGCAAGAGGTGTGAAGAAATGCTAGTGCATCTCTAAAGTGAACGTTTGAATCGGAAGAACCCTCATATGGAACTTGAATCAAATGTTCCAGGAAAAGTCCCATCTGTTGCTGACCAGTGCTCCAGCTGCTAAATTTGTTTTCTCACAAACACTGAATTAAGCTCCTCCATCAGATAAAAGAAGAAAGAAGTCTGCAGGAATGTTGGAAAAGAATGCGGAATAACTTGTTTGTTTTTTTTTGTTTGTTTTTAAGAAAAATAAAAATGCTAACCGAAGCTGATTGAACTCATTAATCATGCGATTTGCTGATATTGGTTTTAAACTTGAATATCAATAAAGTCCAGTCTAAAGGAAAGACTAAAGAGAGAAAGCTTTTCCTTTGTGTGTGATAAATAGCAGATTCTTTTTTACATAGATGAAATATGGGAATATGTAATTTAATAAGCATCAACGAGCCTGAGCCTGGTCAGGCGGAGACGCTCTCAGATCCGCAGCACAATAACGGTGACTGTGCAGCATGGACTTATTTACAGGAATTCTGCAGCGGTCACATGATGAAAATCCCAATTGAACCATCTGAAGATATCTTGAAGTATTATTGAGTACCCTTAAGGTTAGCGCTTTGATGTTTGTTGTGTCTGGAAGGCTTTAGCTCTAGCCGACCAGGTGAGGTGATGGCAGACAAACCCTACGATTGATGCTCAGGGATGGGTAAAACTCCTGTCTCAGGGTGGTCAGCTGGACAATAGCCACGGCCGGAGGAGAAGCCAATGGGCAGAGGGCTCCAGTCCGCGCGTTGGTTGGTAGCGTTCCCCAAACCCAAAAGCGGCCCTGCTTCCCCAGCTGACCTCAGCCGGAGCACCTGTTTCCAATAACCGTCCTGCCAGAGGCTGTTAGGATCCGTCCACCCCCAGAAAAGACTCCGAAACCCCAGTTCCACACCAGCTATTCGCTCGCGCTGATTAATCACATCAAGATGGAGCGTTCAGCCTCGTAACGCCGCCCAGAGAACACGCTCCCCGACTTTGAGCCCGTTTGCGAGTGTGTGTACGGTGCCACATGCTCTTAATCTTTAAGATATTTGACCGAGATATTTCATTAGACATGTGGTACTCTCGGATATTAAGTTATATATTCATTCGATACCTGCAGCCACATGGAGGGACGAGGAGCCCCGGCTCGGTGGGCCCCGGACACGCTCTGTGATTGGCCCCGGCTATCTGGGGTTTCCACCGGGTCAGTGGATGGACCTGATTGATTGATCGACCCCCAGAGGAGCGCAGTGACGTGTTGGCTTCCAGTGGTAGGTTGGTTGGAGGTTGGTTTTAAATTAATATTAAGGTGAAGTCGGTATTGTGTGACAGCAACTACCACTACAACTACTACTACTATAGTTCCTCCATGTAGCCAGTCCAGGTTCAAGTCCCAGTTTATATCTCTGTGACTCTTCCCTGACTCTCTCGGCCCCTTTCCTAATGACCACTGTCACAGAGGGATACTAAAGGCCAGAAATAGACATTTTTTAAGCAATTTGTAGAAGTTATATCAAATCTATGAGAGAAGCCCATTACTGTGCAGTTTTGTTTAATCATATCTATTTAAAAACCTAGTATTCTTCACTAGATAATTTACTCTTAATGGATAGAATCATTGTATGCAGTTACATTTATGCTCTTTTTTCTCTTTTTGAGCCTTGACCTGTTTCCATCTCAATGTGCTCAGACAACATCCCGTTCTCTGGAGTGACTTTTTCTTTTAAATGTCAGTGTGGATGGGGTGAGCTGTTTAAACTAAACCAAATGAACTTATTCAAGTTGCACTGTATCAACTTTCTCCACCTTATCTACCAAATAACTGCAGCTTCCTATTACTTTGCAGATGGGACGTGCTTAAAATAGATACCCCTAAACTAACATTACAATATCAAAAATAAGCTGTTTTGCATCTTTGTCATGAATAATTTTGATTGGAAATGTTAACTCAGGATTTTTTTCAAGTGTATTTTCCAACTGAATATGTGTGCTAGACTATACCTTCTGTGCTTTTACCCTATCGGGGTGTAGAGGTAAAAGGTGAGAATAAAAAAGTTTATTGACCTTACTCTGTCCATATTGGCCATACTGGTAGGACGCAACATGGTCGACGGTGTAGCCCGATGAGCTGTAGGACGGCGGGCAGTAGGACTGAGAGCTGGGCAGGGAGGGCAGGGCCGACATGGAGGGGACACTGCCCAGGCCCTCCAGGCCTTTGATGTGGTCCATGCGCTGGCTGCAGCTGGCCGCCATGCCCGCGGGGGGCTCCAGCCCCCCCGTCAGCGGGGAGATGGCGTAGTCACTCTGAGGCTGATGCGGCACCCCTCCGGGGTTCAGCAGGCCCATCACCTGATTGGAGGAAGGAGGAGATAAGGAGAGGACTGAAGATTCATGGTGAGGTTTCAGCTTTATGTTCCCAAAAAGTGCATTTTTGCTTCTCTTTTAAGCTTCTGAACAGCCTTTATAATACCCAAACTATCTCTAATTTTAACTTGTACTACTACTGACACAGCAGGTCAAACACACAAAGGAATTTCCCCCCATCATAGACATCAAAGCTCTCCCAGCCGGCCTGTTCCAGACAGAGATAGCACCAGAAAGGAAGAATTAAGCAATTTGTTTCTGATCCATGGCTCCACTTATTCTAGACTTCGTTTTTGACACCGCTCCAAAAGCTCATGGTACACGCGAGATAACGGCTTATCTCCGACAGAGATTTGCTAGCTAAGATAACACTGGGGGGAAACGCAGAACTCCTTTAGCTCTTGACCTGGTCTTCATTAGCGACCAGATAATCGAATTTGGGGGTAACGTTCCCTGGCCCAGAACGGACGGAAAAGAGCCTTTGGTCAAAGCGTCTCGGCTGCCTCGGAACAGCCTTTTGCTGTATTTACTCCTCCATCATCACCGTGTTCACGAGGAGGTGCGAGTCCCGTTTGAAAGTGTCAGCCAGCAGCAGACTGCCAGCAGCAAACATCCAGTTTCATCGTTTCTGTCCGATACACAAACCAACCCAAGTTTCAGCCAGGTCTCAGCTTTCAATTCAATTCAATTCAATTTTATTTATATAGCGCCACATCACAACAACAGTTGTCTCACAGGGCTTTACAAACAGAGCAGGTCAGACCCTACTCTGAAGATAATTACAGAAACCCAACAATTCCCACCATGAGCAAGCACTAGGCGACACAGGCAAGGAAAAACTTCCTTTCTGGTCCGTAAAAGGAAAACCATCCAAGCCGAGTCCCGGTGAGGTGGCCAGAGCTGAGTAGGTACTAATGGAAAACCCTCACAACCGAAGGGGAATCTGCTACCTCTAAATGTAACACATCCCACCTTCCTCTCGACAGAGCAAGGCCTCGAGGCCCTTTTCTCGTGGTTCTAATGAGAAGCAGGTACTCAGCTCCGTGTGTCCTCCTGGCCCTCTAAGTGACATCTTATTCAACATCCACGCACACATGGTCCTGCTTAAATCATTTCCCAAGCAAAGGGGAGGAGAGTGAGGAGTCCATATTGATTTCAGGAGGAGCGGTGTGTTTCCGCCCATGTCTGGTAACATTTTCCCTCAAATGTTCGGAGGGGGTTGTTGGAACAGAAAGAGATGAGAGACGCAACGTGGCTTCGTCCAGCCACCCGTTTGCTGTCAGCGATGCTGTTGAGGTGTCCTCTCTGTCTGCCTCTTTATCTCTGTTAGGCCAAACCCCCCCCCGTCCCCCATCATGCCCCTCTTTCCTGAGCTTTCCCTGTGCATCCAATAAACGGTAGGGGAGTAAATTATAAACATGAAAATTCTCCCAGGGCTACAACATGGCTTAAAGAGAGCATGAGATCCCAATCTACTCATATTTGCATAATATTAGGAACCGTATTACATTATTAAGCTTTGCTATCATACAACAAAAGTCATAATTATTTTCCCCTCATTTTTTAAAGCAAAAGAAAGCACAAATCTAAACTAAGAAGAACAACTGAATTGAACATGCAACCCAAGCATTTTTTTTGTTTAGAGTTCACTTAATCAATCTTGCTGTGCCTTGGTATGAAAATTATTACTACGTTTATACCTTTAAATGCGTTTTCTACACATCTCTGTCTCACCTGTGGAGAGAGCCCGTTTCCAATGGCGGGGTTCATGGGATTGGTCGATCCCCCGAAGCCGTCGGAGTAGCCCGAGAAGGAGTGCCGTCCGGAGGCCAGGCAGTAGCCAGAGCCGGCCTCTCCCTGACCGCCCCCCCCGGAGGCCTGGTGGGCCGACGAGGGGGGCAGCGGCTGGGGCCGGTGCAGCGTGCTGGGGGGCTCTGACGGGGACAAACGAGACTGAGACAGCCACACAGGACCTGCCGGTTCCCCTCCCCTGGTCCCCTCATTGGTGACTGTGTTCATGAGGGACGTAATGAGATCACGCCCGGAAAGGGTCAAACCTAAAAGACACTCTTCGAGCTGAGGTCAGACTAATGTCCCTAATTGTTGTTTGAGCACAGCTAATCGCTCCACGTTGGTAAAAACAGACTACTGAGTGAGGATTACATGTTTTATGGCAGTGCTACTTCATAACATGCTCTGAGTGTATCAGGTCATTTCACTTTGGAGGAAATTAAATATAGAGTATAAATTATATACAAATGAGACATAGAGAGGATGATCACTTAGCCCTTTAAAGCCTGATCCAAGAAAATTAGGAAGAAAATTTGATTTTTTTTTAGTCTGAAGTCTTTCTTTGGCCCCTCAACAACATATGGAGGAAAAAAACTGAAATTATTTTGATCAAATTAGCGTGCAATAAGTCAAAAATACATGTTCGTGTAGTCTTTTACTGGCTGTTATCAGTTATATCTGAATGTGTACAACAGGGGTTTGAGCAAAGCTTTTACAACTGAATGGTGCAAAAAGTCTCAGATCCAAAAGACTTCAGAAACCGTATGTATCAAATACGATACATTTGTCATTATAGGGTTAAAAGGCTTTCTCCATTATTGAAAAAGAAATATTTTGAAGCCCCACCACTGTGTGAATGAGTGTCCGATCCTACCTTGGGCTATAGATGAGGGGGGGTAAGGGCTGTCCGGGAGCTGGTAGGGTGGGATGCTGGACATGGCTGAGGGTGGGAACCCTCCAGGGATGAGGTGATTGAATGCCATCAGCTGATTGGCTCCCGCCTGCTTCCTCCACCGTGCTCTCCTGTTGCTGAACCACACCTGGAAGAGGAGACCATGCTCTATTCGCTGGGATGTAGCCACAAAACAAAACTAAGCGGAGTAATAGCCATTTTTATTAGGCTGCAAAGTTTAAAAGGGAGGTGACAGCTAGTCTGACACGTGTGTGTGTATATATGTGTCTGTGTGTGTGTTGGCTCCACGGCATGGAACGCTGAGAACATGTGTATGGTGGGACTATTAACCTCCCACATGGAGCCCATGGAGGAAAATTGACCGGATTCTACTTTACAAATAGGAATGGGAAGGAAGAATGAGCAGCTCTGTGTGTGCGTAGCCTTGAAATGTTCAGAAAACAAGAGAGTTTTAGTGTTTAGCTGAATTCAGATCATTAATACGTGGCTGGATAATCTGAGAATAGATCCTCTGACATCTTCAGAACTCTGGTGTAGCGCAGCATGAGTCTACCTGCACCCTGGCCTCGGTCAGCTTGGCTCTCTGGGCCAGCTCCTCCCTGGTGTAGATGTCGGGGTAGTGCGTTCTCTCGAAAGCCCTCTCCAGCTCCTCCAGCTGCTCGGCGGTGAAGGTGGTCCGACTGCGCCGCTGCTTCCTCTTCAGGGGCAGATCGGGCTCCGATTCCACGTCCGAGCCGTCATCCGAGTGGCTCGCTGTCCGGACACGGAAGGAAACGGAAAGCCGGATGACATTCTGTTCCTTACATCAGCCGGTAAAACCAGGAAGATGTTCATGAAGATGAAGATGTTCAGTCCAGCTCAGCAGCTCCGACACATAAACGCTGGAAAAACTCTAGATGACCTCGTAAGACTTTGCCAAAGATAAGAACACACACACGATCGGCACAATGGACCTCTATTCAGAAAGAATATTTTAAGCCCGGGGAAATAATCCCATTGGACAGAATTCCCTCGGCACCTCAGGGGGAGTGATGGACTGAAAGCCACACAAAAGGCTCATTTGGATCAGTGTGTGTAAAGGTGTGAGCCGTCCGTCCGCCCAGAAGCCGGATGGGTTTTGGACACTCGGGTTAGCTTTATATCATCTGTGCGGATTGATGAGAACATTCTCTAAATAACACACCGTCAACCTTTGAATGAGCTTCAAAAACAAAACAGAACAGACATTTTATAATCAGACTGCATAAATCTGGACATTTCCTAACAGAGTCCACAGACAAGTGAATGACTAATGAATTACCACATTTGCATCTAATCATTGAGTATTGTTGCCTTTTACTTACAATTGTTCGTTTTTTTTTAGTTTGCTCTTCGTATTATTCTCCGATCCATTTTTAAAATGTTGTGAACCTCTGTTCTATAAAACCAGCAGTTCAATTTTAATCTCAAAGAACTTCAAACACTCCATTGGCGCCTTTCTAAGAGTGCCTACTTTTTGTGTCACACTTAATTAATTCCCCCTCAGCATAAGGGAAGTTTTGTGTGTAACACTGTATTAGTTCCCCCCCTCGGAAGCAACAATAAAATACAAGAGAATCCAAATAGCTCAAGGCCCCTCATGTGAAACTGATCCTCTCTCCCCTCTAGAGATTTGCTCTTCACAACACCAACAGCAGTGGGAGTCAACCTCACATGCATTAGGAGCAAATTGGTAAAGAAACATTCAAGCATGAGGAAGCAAATAAGGAAAATATTTTCAAAGGGGACGAGCATAGAATCGAGAGATTTCCCTAATGCCACCGTTGAATATGTTTCGTACTCATTAGAAGTTTCTTTTCACTTCATTTTTATGGAAATCTGAACAGGATGAAACACGAGCACCTTCTCAAACAGGTGCAGGAGACCGGGGAAATGGTTCCGTAGTTTAGTTTGGAACTTTTACAGATCAAAGTACGGCGAGAAAAACCTCTCTAGGCCGACTTTGTGCCTCAGACGGTGAGGAAGGAATTCAGGGTGTGGAACTGTGGGGCTTTGGAGTTTTTGGACAGGACGGCTGAAAAACAAGAGATGAGGCCTTCTGTAGCCTCCCCCTCTAGTTCCTGCATAGAGCAGGGCCGCTAAGAATGCCTCCCCCCTTTTCTAACCCCCTGCGTGCACGTTCCTCCGCATTTCACAGGGATTTGGGCCTTGGGAAAGCCGAGGCGGCTCTGGAAAATCCTTAATCACTTTGGAATTACCTATCAGTTATGACCGCTACTGGGGTTTCTAGAACTTTTCAAAAGAAGCGACAGAGCGGCACCTCTTAAAGTCTTGAGAGGGTAGTCGGGATACCGTCCTTTAAGCGGGACCCAGGTCAGCTAATTAGTTGCGTCCCTCATCAGTGGACAGCTACATCAAATTAAAGGAAGGCCACGCGTGATAAGACGCTGAGTCGGCACACCTTGGACACTTCTAGATGGTCAACAACACCAACGGATGACGAAACAGATCATAAAGACCACAGAAAAAACTTCAGACGTTGACTAGTTTCATTCTAGATGATCGTAAAACTCCCAATTCGTCCAACAAACCCACTTTTTTGTGCTCGGGCATACAACCTTTCTTAAACAAGCACCACCTTCTCCTCCCTCCCTCTCCTCCATCTCCCTCCTCCTCACCCTGTCTTTGTCCTCTACCACCCCCCCCTCACCCTACCCCGACTCTCCCTTTTCCACCCATATTTCTCTCTCTCTTGACTCTCGGGCTCTTTGTTTCTCCACAGAGCTGAGGTCTTTGCCGGCGATTTCCACGCTCCATCTGTGGAATCCGTCATGGCTGCCTCAGCCCTTCACAGTGGAGGCCTGTCACCTGCCCCATGGGGG